ACATCTACACGGGCGGTATAACCTTCTTGCCTACTCTTTACATTATCAATAAACTAGTTGTCAAGCTCTTTAGTGTAACTAGTTGTGAGAGCTTGTTAGTTTGGTTAGTGTGGCTCTTTAGTTAGCATTTGAGAGCACACTAACTTAGTGTAGTGATATAGCTATTGTGTGGATATACTCCATCTAAACTAGAATTGTGGTAGGTGGCTTGCATTTTGGTAGGCTAGCGCAAAACGTGCTTCGCCTCATAATTGTCTAACCGGTTTGCTAAGTGTTATTGTAGAAATTTTTATTAGGCTATTCACCCCCCCTCTAGCCATTAGGACCTTTCAGGAGCCTACTCCCATCTAGGGAGATCAGAACCACTCCAACCCCCGAGCCGGGCGCCATGACGGACCCGTCGAAGTACATTGTCTAGTACTCATGGGTGACGTCTGGGGTCGATAGCTAGACCTCCGTCCATTCGGCAACAAAATCCGCGAGAGCTTGAGACTTAATGGCGGTACGGGGGATATACCTGATGTCGTGGCCCATGAGTTCGAGTTGCCACTTGGAGATTCATCCCACGGCGTCGCGGTTGCGGACGATGTCTCCGAGCGGGTATGAAGTGACGACCGCGACTTCGTGATCGGTGAAGTAGTGCAGGAGCTTCCGGGTTGCCATCAGCACGACGTATAACAGTTTTTGCACCTGGGGGTACCGGACCTTGGGGTCGGTGAGTACCTCCCTGATGAAGTACACGGGCCGCTGGATGTTAAGGTGGTGTCCTGGTTCCTCCCTCTCGATGACCAAGGCGGCGCTTACCACATAGTTGCTTGCCGCGACATAGAGGAGGAGGGGTTCTCCCCGTTCGGGAGCGACGAGGATCGGGGCCGATGTCAGGGACGCTTTGAGGCTCTCTAGAGCCTACTGAGGTTCCTCAGTCTAGACGAAGGTGTCCGTCTTTTTTAGGAGCTTGTAGAGCGGCATCCCCCGTTCGCCGAGCCAAGAGATGAATCGGCTTAGGGCAGCCAGACAGTCGGTGAGCCTTTGTATGCCCTTGACATTGCGTATAGGGCCCATGTTAGAGATGGCCTTGATCTTTTCGGGGTTGGCCTCGGTGCCGCGCTCGGACACAATGTATCCTAGTAGCTTCCCCTTTGGAACCCCGAAAACACATTTCTCGGGATTCAATCTGATGTTGAACCTTCGGAAGTTCGCGATCGTTGCGGCCAAGTTTGCGATCAGGTCATAAGCTTGAGCCGTTTTGACCACTATGTCGTCCACATAGACGACGATTGTTGGTTTCGGCCGTTCGGCTCGATCAGGCTGATCGAGCGGGTCGATTTGGTCGGTGAAGCATTGCTGCATGCACCTCTGGTAGGTGGCGCCAGCGTTCTTCAGGCCGAAAGGCATGGTTACGTAGCAGTACGAACTATACAGGGTGATGAACGAGGTTGCGAGCTGATCGGACTCTTTCATCGCGATCTGATGATAGCCCGAGTAGGCATCCAGAAAGGAGAGGATCTCGCAACCCGAGGTGGAGTCGACTATCTGGTCTATGTGTGGCAAAGGAAAATGATCCTTTGGACACGTTTTGTTGATGCCAGTATAATCCATAGACACATGATTGTAGGATCTCTATCAGTTAGATGAATAAGTAGAGCAAATAACATGAACCATTAAACCAATGGCTGTGTTTAGCTGACCCAAAAAAATCACTGTAGCGGTTGAAAGTTACTGTTTAAGGCTGAATCTGTGAGAGAAAAATACTGTTCTGGATGAAAAAAGAAGCGGATCAAGCCGGGTTTAGGGTCAGCCGAACAAGGCCTATATTGTTTTTCTATGCATTGGTGCAAATTGAGACTAAAAAGATAAGTCAGGATGGCTGTTGAGATGGCTAGGATTGTCAGGAATCATTGACCAACATGATGAAAGATACCCAGCCTTTTTCAGCAACTATGTATACACTAAATAAGAAATTCTATTTATATGAACATAACCACATCACATAGACTTATGAAGCAGGTTTTGTGTAGCATATCAGTGCTCTCTAATCTGGATATCTTTAAAACATGACTGGAATAAACATGAGTTATCTACAGTCCAATGTACTGAGAAATCTTCTTAAGTGTTTCTTTGGTCGGCACCTCGTTGTTGGCCAATGCTGGAAGGCCTGACTTGCAGCCTGTTCGGTTGGCTGATGCTTATCGTTGCTGGATCGTGAATAAGTACTGCTGGCTGGTTTGGTGTGAGAGAAAAATACTGTTCCTGCTGGAAATTTACAATCGTATACGAGACGAACCAGCCAACCGAACAGGCTACTCGATCCCTTTACAGGTTTTTACAATCACAAACCTGTTATATGAACACCACGAGGTCAAATGACGTGTAACCAGATACCAATTTCTAATAAATATTCCATCAGACAGGATTAATAAAAACACAACAGTTCTCTGAACAACACTTTTTTTTAAAAAAAACAGAACTATCAAAGATAATAAAAAAAATAGGATTCCATCAGAGTATCACATCAGCATCTGAAGTATCATTGGATTATCAGAAAACCACATTGTTGGGTAAGATGGAATTTGGAATGTCCTTTTGCATCAGTTAATCAAAAAGAAACATTATTTGTTCTGGCTCGACTAATTACAGGAGGCATACTGTTATGTTCAAAAAAGGGGAAAAGATTCACGGTCCATTGCCAAATCTAAATTACATGAGGCATGCTGTGCTATACAGCCAAGCGTAAATTACTTACACCATACAGTCTCTTACTTATAGGGTCTTTTTTTTTTTTTTTTTTTTGCTAAATGATAGGTTGGTGGCATTCCTAGACCTGAAGAATGCTATGCCTACATTAAGCCTGCCAATATAGAATTTTTCAGGTGAAGTCTGCAGTCCTCCCTCCCAACCATTTTCCCTCCTATCAGAGAGACATCAGAAGGAACAATTTTCGTATAAATACATGAGCAGCAATGTCCCGATGTTACCACCAAATGACTGTCAATTCTGGATTCTTAGCAAAACAGCAAACAGGTCCCCTTGAGAAAAAAAAATAGAAGAACTAAATTTAATGATTATTGCCATGATACATATAATGGTTATTGTATTACACCCATTGTCCACAAATTCAATAACTGTGCTAATTTATAAGTTTTGAGGCAGGGCCAGCCCAAAATGGCATTAAAGCACTTCAAATCAATTATGGATGTAGAATTGGCACTGACCAGGCATTTTTATCTTCCTGGGCACTAAGGTTCAGATTCTTAAGCGACAGTTCATCAGGGGAAAGGGCCTCAAGATCAGACAGAAATGGTCCTTTGCCTAGTCAGTGGTCATAGGAACAACTTTTCGCCAAAAGAAGTCCTGCCCCTGATAGCCGCCCCTGTTAGGACACTATCAGGTTCAGGGACGCAGCACTGATAGTGTGGTAACCGCAAATTACATGCCATCTTAACTTCAGTTGCCTGCCATCTTAAAATAGGCACTCTCTCTTGTTCCATCCATCCATGGGAGTGAAAGGGACCATAGAGCAATATGATGGACAGTTTTCAGTATTCCTGACAAATTCTGAAGAAGCTGATTTACTAAACTGCGATGGCCATATAAGCCCCTTTCGTCATAGAGCCTGGGAGATGCTTTCACTCTTTCGTTATATTCCTGACAAACACACATCAGTGGAGGCGGCGGAGAGGCGGGCGCCGAGGCGCGTCGCTCCTCGCGTCCAGCGGGCGCAAGTGGGGGAAAACGGAACGGCGCTGGAGCAGGCGAGGAGGAGCTGGCGTCCTCTCGCTGCTCGCGTCCTGGCGGCGGCGGCGAATGGAAGGGCGAGGGAGCAGGCGAGGAGGATGCTGCTGTGGCCGACCTGGACGCGGTGCTCGGGGCGGGCTGGGGCTGGGCGCCATGAGCAGGGGGGGCATGCTGGGAGCGGCCGAGCAGCGAGCGGTGAGCGGCAGCGCCCAGCGGAGTCGCGCAGCGCGGGAAGTCGCGAGCGAGGCCGAGCGGATTGAGTCCGAACTCGGAAAAGGCGCGGCTCGGGGGAGGGGGGGGGGGCGGCGCAATTTATGGTTTTTAAGATATTTGAAGCCAGCGCCCTCGCAAATTTATTTTTCTATACAAGGCACGAATACACATCCATGGACCATGTGGGCCTCATGTGTTCAATAGACTGTCTCCAACAAAGAATCCAAACATCCAAATCCAAGATGGGTAGAAACAGACCCAAAATCAGTCTCCAACAGAGTATCTATACGGGAGACCTATTTTGGGTTGTCTAAGAGGCACAACCTAAATATGAGCATCCTCTCTCATGAAAACCCATTTGTAGAAAGGATTTTCTTTTGGGTCTTGTTGTTGGAGAAGATGTCGAATATGTATTTAACCTTTTGCCTGTAGCGCTACCAAAGAACGATTGAATCTTGTATTTTAGGTGTCGTGGGTGGAGTTAGCCTTAGCAACTCAGTATAGGAAAACAGTGACACAAAAAGGAGGGCGACATGTACTCCGACCGAGCATGCGGGCGATCTCGACCCCTGAGCGCTTGAGCCGGATGCCCAATTTTGGACAACCCACAGTTTATGCCAAGGCACCAGTGCCGTCTAACACATGACTTTGTGTTGTGTTATTCCAAGAGAAGCTGTACGAATCAACTGGTAAATGGGGATGAGTGAGACAAGACAAATTTAAAAGCAATTTACTAACTCGACCTCATCTGGATTACACTTTTTATTAAAGGTGGAGAGTGGATACAGTGGAATCGTGCTACCGAAACAAAGTGATGGTGAGAAACGGTGCATTGAGTTTAACCATCATGCACATGTATAGTTACTCCTAGGAGAAGTTAACGAATCCTCTTATGCTAATGTGCAAACAGAGCAGTGCTACCTAGGGCACCTTGCAGAAATCATCATCTCTTGCTCCAAACTGTATCTTCTACTACTTGGTTTCTCAATTCTTTGCCCTTGTTCACTCAACTATGGATAGTGTCATAATGCTATTGTTTTCGACCTCCACAGCTAGGATACCATCTTTGTTATACCTCTTGGGACCTGAAGCCCATGCAGTATATGTTCCACCAGTCGCATCGTTGGCCTTTCCTCACCTCTTAAATTTATACATGATGCTGCAAGTGTAGCAACTTCTTGGACTTCTGTGCCTCCCTCCATAACTTGTGGATCTATTATCTGGACAAGATTTCCCTCGGAAAGTAGGTTAACAAAATGGGAAACAAGGCCATCGCCTTCAGCGGACAAATACGAAAATGGTTTCTTCCTAGTGAGCAACTCCACAAGAATTACACCAAAACTGTAGACATCACTTTTATCGGTGAGGCGGCTGGTGTAAAAGTACATAGGATCCAAGTATCCTATTGTTCCCTGAACCCTTGTTGTCAACCCAGTTTTGTCAACCGGGATGTACCTTGAAGCTCCAAAGTCCGATATCTTTGATGTCATTGTATCATCAAGAAGTTTGTTGCTGGACTTAATGTCTCTATGGATTATTGGGATTGACACCGATGAGTGAAGATAGACAAGAGAAGTAGCTATCTCAGTTGCAATCCTCAACCTACTATCCCATGTCAGGGACCTCGGTTCTTCAACATGGAGATGGTCATAAAGTGTTCCATTGGAGATAAACTCATAAACCAACAATGGCACCTCAGTCTCTAGGCAACATCCAAAGAGTTTGACCACATTCTTATGGTTGATCTGTGAGAGGATTGCCACCTCATTTATGAACTCGTCTATTTCTTTTTGGACTGTAATATTTGACTTCTTGATGGCTACAACATGTAAGTCCGATAAGATTCCTTTGTAAACGGTACCATGCCCTCCACCACGAAGCTCACGAGCTTTGTCGAAATTGTTTGTGGCCTTTGTAAGCTCATCCAATGGTATTATCATCCTTTCTGCAATGTCTGCCTTTTGGGACAACAACTGTTGCAACAATTGTCCACGATTTTGCTTGAAGTACTTTTGTTTCTGTACTTTTATCTTGCGTTGTTTAAACTTGCAGAGTAGCAAAAATATATCCAGAACTATCAGAAGGAGCGCTGACGATCTTGGTCCTTTCTTTGTTCTTCCCCGACGATGTCCGCGGAAATCGTCGCCATGATGTTGCATCCGGAGACGACGAGCTTGTTTCAAGTTGACAGTAGGTAGCCGTGCTCCCTGAAGCCGCAGCAGAACTCGACCGAGGCATTCCAACTGAGTCAGGTTAGGTCGCCGAGCAGCAGTCGCTGGGGCTGGTGGCGCGTGTTGCGAGTGAGGTTGAGCCCCGGCAAGTAGCAACTAGCAACCGGAGGGCCCGAGTCAAACGGGTACGGCCCGCTCACATTGTCACAGGTGGTGTATTTCTCTGTGGATGTACCGAGAGCTTCTTCTTAGTATAAAAACCATGGGTGGATCTTCCCCCTATTGCTAGTCGAGTTTTTTTATTACACCCTACGTTCAAAATTATAGGACGTTTTGGCTTTTCTGGATACATAGCTTTTGCTATGTACTTAGATATACACTATATCTAGATACATAGTAAGACCAATGTCTCTAGAAAGCCAAAACTTGTTATAATTTGTAGTGGATGGAGTAGTACATTTTTTAAGAAAAAACTAATCAAATTGGATTAGAGATGGATTGAACCAACAATGTAGCTAGAATTGTAATTTTTCTAGGATGGAGGGAGTACATAGTTGTGGAAGATCTGAAGAACTTTTTTTCTTTTTCTTTATACATATAAGGGCTCAAACGCAGGCTCCAATCTTCTAGCCCAAGCATTCCGATATAATCACCTAATAATGCGCCCGGCACTTTTGTATCTTCTATTTTTATGTAGATTCGGCCCATGAGCTGATTTATGGTCCTGTTGTTGTATGGCTTGATTTCTTCTGGTCCGAGCATTTCGACCCAATCACTTATCACTGTCATCTAACGCAATCGGCAATGATAGTCCGATTGTAATTGCTTATTCTGGCATAGTTGTAGTAACGTAGTGTGCATGCATATAATCCATCCACCCCAAATTAAATTAATTATCAATATTCTATGACCTAAAACTGGTATCACTTGATATATTAGAGCATCTTCAAGAGACTCCTCGTATCCTTCTTAAATGCTAGGAACAGAGACTTTGATAAAAAACTACCCGGTGATTTAGAGAGTGAGATTTAGAAAAGCTCTTAGAGATGCTCTTATGAAATATATTTTCATGATGTATTTTTTATGCTATAGATGTTATCCTTGATCAAACTTAAACTAATATGACTTAATTGGGGTGACTCTAGAAAACTATTTACTCAACTGTCTGCATCTAAACATTTTCTTTTAAAAAATACGATACAAGTATTTGAAGCCAGCGCCTTTCACAAATTTATTTTTCTATACGAGGCACGCACACACATCCGTGGACCGTGTGGGCCTCATATGTTCTCGTCGGTAACTCAGTCCTTTTGTTGGTTGGTTTTAACTTGGGCTTATCAGTCAGCTAACATTATTTTTCTCTCACAACAAATCAGCACCAGCTGAGCTTATCAGCCCAGAAACCAACCAACGAACAGGCTGTATAACTTGCGCTGAACGTGTACGTATAGGAAAACAGTGACACAAAAAGGAGGGCGACATGTACTCCGACCGAGCACGCGGGCGATCTCGACCCCTGAGCGGTTGAGCCGGATGCTCAGTTTTGACAACCCGCAGTTTTATGCCAAGGCACCAGTGCCGTCTAACACATGACTTTGTGTTGTGTTATTCCAAGAGAAGCTGTACGAATCAACTGGTAAATGGGGATGAGTGAGACAAGACAAATTTAAAAGCAATTTACTAACTCGATCTCATCTGGATTACACTTTTTATTAAAGGTGGAGAGTGGATACAGTGGAATCGTGCTACCGAAACAAAAGTGATGGTGGGAAACGGTGCATTGAGTTTAACCATCATGCACATGTATAGTTACTCCTAGGAGAAGTTAACGAATCCTCTTATTCTAATGTGCAAACAGAGCAGTGCTACCTAGGGCACCTTGCAGACATCATCATCTCTTGGTCCAAACTGTATCTTCTGCTACTTGGTTTCTCAATTCTTTGTCCTTGTTCAATCAACCATGGATAGTTCGTCATAATGCTATTGTTTTCGACCTCCACAGCTAGGATACCATCTTTGTTATACCTCTTGGGACCTTGAAGCCCATGCAGTGTATGTTCCACCAGTCGCATCGTTGGCCTTTTCTCACCTCTTAAATTTATACATGATGCTGCAAGTGTAGCAACTTCTTGGACTTCTATGCCTCCCTCCTCCATAACTTATGGATCTATTATCAGGACAAGATTTCCCTCGGAAAGTAGGTTAACAAAATGGGAAACAAGGCCATCGCCTTCAGCAGACAAATACGAAAATGGTTTCTTCCTAGTGATCCACAAGAAATACACCAAAACTATAGACATCACTTTTATCGGTGAGATGGCTGGTGTAAAAGTACATAGGATCCAAGTATCCTATTGTTCCCTGAACCTTTGTTGTCAACCCAGTTTTGTCAACCGGGATGTACCTTGAAGCTCCGGCCACCTCACCTGTGACAGAACCGCCCAATTTATACAAGATCAAGTATGGCTGTCTCCGCTAACACGTTGACACGCGCATACTTTCACTTATACAAACCCGGTAGTCCGCCGAGTGTCACGAAGGACCTCGGTAAATCAACATCACAACCAAGATCGCGTGATTAAGCAAATACACATCACATACGCAGAGTTGCAGCGGAAATAATATTACAATTGGGTTCACAAATAATAGTACAAGTTTGGGTTTTAAAACCGATTAGAGAAAACAACATAGCTTTCAAATGATTACATTAATATAAGTTCCAAATACATTGCTAGCATAAGTGACATCCTCTGATAAAAGCATATAGGTGAGAAGTAAATATAGAGTCACCGAGCCCACTGGCGGTTAGCCACCATCTTCCGCAGGCCAAGAACTTCACCTGCAACATGGTGGGATAAACCCTGAGTACTCGAATGTACTCAGCTAGACTTACCTGTCGGAAACCAAAACAAATGACACCAAGGAGTATGCAAGGCTTTCTTTAGTGGGCTAGCTGACTCATTTGCGAAAAGCATAAGATATCATGAAGAAACCATTTTAAGTACTTTGCATCATCTTTATTATGACCTATCCATCTAGGTAAGCACCTATACTATAGCAATCACTTGATTAACCAACAACATCCAGTTACCAACTTAGTTTTAGCATATCCCATACCATCCAGATAACCATTAGTGTTCCATCATAATTACTACGATGCTGTAGCTCGAGTCAAGTGCTCACTATCCAGGAGCGATGGCGATTCGAATCGATTCCTAACCAGCTGGTGATTTATTCCTCACACAAACCATGCTTCCCCTGCCAGGGTAGCTTAGATCACCAAGGACACTATTCAGGTAGCCGTGGGACAATCTGGAGCCGCAGTACCCAGGGACCGCCCGACTGCCAGGAATCAGGGCGCACCTGCCCTTGGGCTCACTCTTCGCGTCCCTGTCATACCCCCATCAGCACCAATACGCGCACCCGTGTAGATCCCGGCCCGAATAGTGCTACTAGCTTCGCAGTCGGAACGGCTTATCCGGTCAGCTAAATGTGAGGCATGCGTTCAACATGACAAGAGGGACGAGCAACGATCGGTCCTTAATCGACACAGATGGAAAACTAACAGCACCCCAGAACCCTGTCTGGTTACCTCGAACTTTTTTCGTCCGGTCTCCAATTATCCATCACACATGGTTAATTCCAGGATATCATTCTTTCCATAGCTAAATTCTTCCAATACCCACCTATAAGTGTAGGTGACCGGAAATCACCGATCGCTACCGGTCTAAGCAAGGCTAAGCAGTTATTCGATCCCGACCTAACAGGGTAAAAAGGTAATAAGGTAGGCAAGGATAGTAATAAATGCATCAACGGTTTCAATCAACTCCTACAACTTAATGCAACAATATATAAGCTCATATATAGGAAGAATTGCTTTTATAAAGTAGGAGACTTAGAATGCTCCGGGGCTTGCCTGGGATCCCACACTAGGTTAGTGTTTGTTAGACGACACTCGCTTAGTGAGCATCTCCCGTTCTAGCACTTGTCTAGTCCTTCCACCTTCGGGATAGGTCCACCATACACCGTCTTCGGGTTCAGCTCCAACATCACGTCCTTCACGTGGCTCATCTAGCGCACCTAGATGAGATGCAAGATGCAAGTGCATGAATATGAAGAATGGTAATACAAGATGCATCACATAAGCATTCAAGACAAACACAAGATTATGCAAGACATAGACACCAATAGCTATTTAACTAACATCACACAACTAACTATAGAGAGCAAGCACATCAAGCATGACACAAGTTTAACAAAGTCACAAGTGTCATAACTTGACCATCAACAAGGGCATAAGCCAAACTTAGCAACACATGAGTAACAACCACAACTAACATATGTCTATTTCCGGACTGGAAACAACAGCTTCATGTTTGGATCATAACTAGAGTTATACAAATCCAATAGCCATGAAACAAGACATTCAGGAAAGCTTATGAAATTCTCTACATTCCATCTATAACCATCACAGCATGATTCACAAGTTAAGTGGGTCAAAATTATATATTTACATAAACTGGTCTAAACAAGACAGAGAGCAATCAATTCTGTAACCCAACTTTAAACAGCTGTAACTCTTAAACTACTTGGCCAAATGACACCAAATTTTAACAGAAGCTAGATACATTAATTATCTACAACTTTTGTATAAACAAGTTTCACAATAAAGTACATTATCATGAAGAACTTTGCTAAGTTCCCAGATCTGTCCATAAACCACATCGGCAAGAAAATAATTATTAACTTATGTTGCAAACACATAATTGGGCAAAACCAACTTTACCAACATTTCACACATGACTAAAGAACACCAGAAAGCATGGTGCTCACCTCTAAATAAATTTTCTTAAAGCATTTCTTAATTTATTTAGACATCAAGGTGTATTTATGAACATATACTAAAAATGCACAATAAATTCTACAAAAATTAAGGTAGCTCACATATCCTCTCAATAGTCTACTGTACAGATTTCATACCATTTTCA